CCTCACTTTTGAATGCCCCGACTCCCCGTTATCACCCCTCCAGCGCCTCCGCTACGCCCAGCACGTCGAAAGCTATGCCTGACGGTTATCTCCTATAACATACATGGACTATGCGGCAGCAAGCTGGAACTACTTCAATACTGCGTCGATCCTCCCCAGACGTGGTCTGCCTTCAAGAGACCTTCCACGGCCCACACCATTCACTAGCATTTCGCAACTATGGTGTAGAGCACTTGGAGGGGGAGTACCTCCCTCAAGACGACCCAGATGACCATCGCGGACGCCGGAGTAGTGGGTTACTCATCCTGATTCGACGACCACTCCACTACAAAATCTTCCTCCGCATCCCCCTCCACGACACTAATTACTGCTACTCGGCTCTGGGGGTCGAACTGTCCTCACCAACACTGCCCTCCCCCCTCAAGGTGGTTAACATCTATATCAGACCCCATCAAGGACCCAACCCACCACAACTACAACTAGAACTACCAGCGGCAAACTGTATTGTGGTAGGCGATGTCAACGGCCACCACCCAGCATGGTCTGGTTCCACTCAGTGCGACGCCAACTCAAACTTTCTTATAATGCTGCTCACAAGACGAGACACTTCCTAGCGAGCCCACAAGCCTAGACATTACGAGTTGACGAACCATATCTCTAGTAACACACCTGATGAACGTTAGAAACCCCCTCTGCTCTGGTTGCGCGACCGTCGGCTAATCCGGAGGCTATCTAACATCTATCATGGCCCTAATTCAACACTTGTTTCCCCAACAAGACTTGTTCCGTGTTGGACAGCTGGTGACAACTGTCTGATCCTTTCAGTATTATAATTTATTGCCAAGCAATAAATACCCGAGCATGACCTTCACACGTTTGCTCCTTATCTTGCTACACTATGTTCTCCTGGTTGACCTAGGCGTTGGAGCCTTTGAAGCAACCGAAGGCATCAGTCTGAGGTGGGTCACTGTTATCCCTAGTATTCTTACGTCGCTCCTCAGAGGCACAGTTCCGCTGATGGACACCTCTCAAAGGAACCTTACCGAGGAGATCAGTGACGAGATTCAAAATACCGCGACCCCCAAGTAAGCCTTCAACGTACGTGAATCTTTTCATATACTGTCAATTACAGGCCGAAACTGAAAGGCAGCACTACTTTTTATATCGTCTTCTTCGCGATCAACGCCGTCATATCCTGCTGCGCAACACTTTATATGTGTCGTTGCTGCTTCCACTGCTTCAGTTGGTAAGTCCGTCATCGTATAGCACTGCCCTCACATTCTCCTTCAGGGTTGGCAAAATGATACGCATAAGTGTTTCAAAGAAGTCACGAGAAGCGTGGCTCGAGAAGCAACTTCTGCAACTGCCACCAATCATCAAAGGTGCTTCCTCGCCCACAGTGGACTCCACCGCAGTCGATGACATCGATATTGAACTTGATGATTATGATGATCGTGTTATTAATAAAACCGAGCAGGCTGAGGTTTGAATTCCCACCTTCCTCTCACCAAAAAAAGACGTGCGCTATCATTTGTTGTTCGCTGGCCTCGTGATATGCTATGAAAGTGTTCTTGCGTTCACTAGTCGGGTGCCAAATTTTGAATACCAAGGCAGAGGAGTGAACCTTTTCCCTAAGTACACGTCGTAACTCTGGGAAGTAGTTCACTATGAGCAAGGGAACGCACTCATACCCTTCTTGGCTCCCACCAATCCCTTACTACCATTCCAGGTCATACCGCACCTCGTTCAATCGTCGACTGCTGCGAGTCCACACACAACAAAAGCGGTTCCATCGAAAGGGCGAACCTATCACTCATGACTCAGAGAAATCCTTCAGCCGCCACAAGTAGATTTTTTCAACTCAGAACAAGTCAGTCACAGCATTGCCACTATGAACATAATAGTGCATGCATGAGTGTGCTCGCGGAACGAAACAAATAACATAAACGATAGTCGCTATGCTAGAATGAGGGAGAACGAACTTCCGACTGACAATGGTAACGAGCCTTAGTCCGATCAAATCCTCCGAGTGGGGCCACTATGCCAACCCAAGACAAGCCTTAGTCTAATAATCGCCCGGGTTGGGCAGCTATGCCATCCCACGACAACCCTTAGTACAATAAGTTACTCCGAGTGGGGCAGCTATGCCACCCAAAGACAAGCCTTAGTCTAATAATCGCCCGGGTGCGGCAGCTATGCCATCCCAAGACAAGCATGAGTAAAATAAGTTCCTCCATGTCGGGCAACTATGCCACCCCAAGGAAAGCATTAGTACAATCAGTTCCTCCGATTGGGGCAACTATGCCACACCAAGACAAACCTCAGTACAGTCAGGTCCTCCGAGCGGGGCAGCTATGCCACCCCAACCTATGCCTTAGTAAAACCAATTACTAGAGGTGGGACAAGTATACCAGCCTAAGATATGTCTCAGTACAACCAATTTCTCCACATAGTATGCATCAGTTCAAACCTGGGGCCACTATGCCACGGTGGCATTGCCACCGCAAGATATGCGTTATGCAAATAATTTCGCAAACCCAAAAAACAATTCTCGCCAAACGACCAAAGCAACTTCAATTTTGATGAGCTGCAACCAATCAGTGCCGCTGCTAGAGAGGCCGGTTTCTCCTGGGGGGCCGGTATGCCATAGCATACCACAGATACCTCGCAATACCTTATCCTGTGCCGTAGTGCGGACCACGTCCAGATCAATGATGGCCCCTCAGTTACTCGATACCGCGCATTGTTATGATGATGCTGTCGGTCTCTTGTAGCGTTGAAGTTCAACCACTATTCGCTCGATGACCAAGCCGGAACAATAACACGGCGGAAACCTTTAGGAATTTACACGAAGGCTACTATGCGATTTTCACTATCAAGCACGCACGTTTGAGGATCAAGACCCTATCCTGTCCCGGGAAGGGCAAGTTTGAGGGATTCGAAGATGATGCGTGATAGGAATCATTCTACTTGTGCCTGCTTAAATTTCCTCCTCCCAAAAATCAGAGCAATTCCAGCTCACTGGGAAGCTTTTTACTTATTGGAGTCTGTCAATTCCTTAGAGCTCGCCTTGGAGGAAGATGACAATAGAACCATGGAGGATGTATTACGTTTGTTACGCTGGGTGCATTAAGGACTCTACTTTTTATGGTATGCCGACGCTGGAAGAGAAACCTGAATGGCCTAAGGTGATAAGTTCCGATTCTGTGTTCATCTGATCGCTTTACCAATCCCCGCTAGCAACAGAGAAGAATGAGAGAAACACTGGGTAAAAGTATCAGAGACCTGCTGAAGTGGTAGAAGCAATCACTTCTCCAGGGGAACTTCTTCCCATGTGTGTGATCAACAGGGTTGTTCTCACTCATGCTCCACCCGTTGCGAGGATAACAAAGATTATCAAATGAAAACTTGTTGTGTGTGTCTCTTTTTGCTTGTCCTAATATAGAGTTATATGGTTGAGCGATTGAGTTGTTGACAACAACCTGATTGAATTTCAATCAGGACGTCGCTCAGCCCATTGAGCCCCCTACATTTACCCGCATGATACGTAGACGTGAAACTCGTACTGTTCAATCGATCAAGTCGCAATAACATACCTACGCTTCCCGCCACGTGTACCGCAGACATTGGACACTTCAGGATGGACCAAGCAATACAAACAACAACCTACATTCATATTAATCCCTCTGAGTATCGATGGGAGGCTTCTCCCAACAGGACTTCTAATCCCAACATGGCGGATTTCTCTCGAGGTGAATGGGAGGTCGAGGTTGAAATGCGACCGGATTACAGACTCGAAAATGATGGCTTACTGAACCAAAAAAGCATTGATTTGCACTGATTTTCGACCAATTTCTCTCAATTTTTTCAATTTAAAAGTATATGAGCTCACGCCGCTACAACTGACACGGCCGCTAGCAGGAGATACGCTCCCATTCTAACGATTCTTGAGTGAAACCCTCTTGAGGAGGACTGGAAAATTTTGCGCACAATCCGGGCGAGCTCTACATTTAAATGGCGAGCGAAGAGACAGCGCATGAAGCGGTCGCCGGGTCGTAAGTTCCGACAAGATTATAGTGGCTTATCAAACTTCCTTATAATGCTGCTCACAAGACGAGACACTTACTAGCGAGCCCACAAGCCTAGATATTACGAGTTGACGAACGATATCTCTAGTACCACACCTGATGAACGTTAGAACCCCCTCTGCTCTGGTTGCGCGACCGTCGGCTAATTCGGAAGCTATCTAACATCTATCATGGCCCTAATTCAACACTTGTTTCCCCAACAAGACTTGTTCCGTGTTGCACAGCTGGTGACAACTGTCTGATCCTTTCAGTATTATAATTTATTGCCAAGCAATAAATACCCGAGCATGACCTTCACACGTTTGCTCCTTATCTTGCTACACTATGTTCTCCTGGTTGACCTAGGCGTTGGAGCCTTTGAAGCAACCGAAGGCTTCAGTCTGAGGTGGGTCACTGTCATGCTTAGTATTCTAACGTGTCGCTCCTCAGAAGCACAGTTCCGCTGATGGACACCTCTCAAAAGAACCTTACCGAGGAGATCAGTGTCAAGATTGTAAATACCGCGACCCCCAAGTAAGCCTACAACGTACGTGAATCTTTTCATATACTGTCAATAACAGGCCGAAACTGAAAGGCAGCACTACTTTTTATATCGTCTTCTTCGCGATCAACGCCGTCATATCCTGCTGCGCAACACTTTATATGTGTCGTTGCTGCTTCCACTGCTTCAGTTGGTAAGTCCGTCATCGCATAGCACTGCCCTCACACTCTCCTTTAGGGTTGGCAAAATGATGTGCATAAGTGTTTCAAAGAAGTCACGAGAAGCGTGGCTCGAGAAGCAACTTTTGCAACTACCTCCAATCACCAAAGGTGCTTCCTCGCCCACAGTGGGTTCCACCGCAGTCGATGACATTGATATTGAACTTGATGATTATGATGATCGTGTTATTAATGAAACCGAGCAGGCTGAGGTTTGAATTCCCACCTCCCTCTCACCAAAAAAAGACGTGCGCTATCATTTGTTGTTCGCTGGCCTCGTGATATGCTATGAAAGTGTTCTTGCGTTCACTAGTCGGGTGCCAAATTTTTAATACCAAGGCAGAGGGGTGAACCCTTTCCCTAAGTACACGTCGTAACTCTGGGAAGTAGTTCACTATGAGCAAGGGACCGCACTCATACCCTTTTTGGCTCCCACCAATCCCTTACTACCATTCCAGGTCATACCGCACCTCGTTCAATCGTCAACTGCTGCGGGTCCACACACAACAAAAGCGGTTCCATCGAGAGGGCGAACCTATCACTCATGACTCAGAGATATCCTTCAGCCGCCACAAGTAGATTTTTTCAACTCAGAACAAGTCAGTCACAGCATTGCCACTATGAACATAATAGTGCATGCATGAGTGTGCTCGCGGAACGAAACAAATAACATAAACGATAGTCGCTATGCTAGAATGAGGGAGAACGAACTTCCGACTGACACTGGTAACGAGCCTTAGTCTGATCAAATCCTCCGAGTGGGGCCACTATGCCACCCCAAGACAAGCACCAGTACGATCAGTTACTCCGAGTGGGACAGCTCTGCCACTCAAAGACAAACTTTAGTCTAATCATCGTCCGAGTGGGGCCACTATGCCAGCCCAAGACAAGCACTAGTACGATCAGTTACTCCAAGTGGGGCCACTATGCCACCCCAAGACAAGCACCAGTACGATCAGTTACTCCGAGTGGGACAGCTCTGCCACTCACAGACAAGCCTTAGTCTAATCATCGTCCGAGTGGGGTAACTATGGCACCCCAAGACAAGCACTAGTACAATCAGTTACTCCGAGTGGGGCCACTATGCCAGCCCAAGACAAGCACCAGTACGATCAGTTACTCCAAGTGGGGCCACTATGCCACCCCAAGACAAGCACCAGTACGATCAGTTACTCCGAGTGGGACAGCTCTGCCACTCAAAGACAAGCTTTAGTCTAATCATCGTCCGAGTGGGGCAACTATGGCACCCCAAGACAAGCACTAGTACGATCAGTTGCTCCGAGTGGGACGGCAATGCCACACCAATTCAAGTTAGTTGCGACTCTCCAGTCCACCACTTAGACTTCCCCGCCCCTTGAGTCGAGAACCCGACTCACTCACACTTGGCGGCAAAACCGAGTCATTGAGCTATGATGTGTAACCTACAGATCTCAAGAATAGCAACGGATGAGATCCGGAAAGAAGGAGATCTAACCGAGTAGATCAATGATACCTGCCTACGGGCGGCATACTGCCGCCCCCACTGCCGGCGGCAGTGGGTAGGTTAAAAAGAGAAAAGTAAAGAAGCGTAGCAACGCTAACGACTGACAGAGTAAATCTCAGAACATCTCGTCGAAGTCGACTAGCCATCACTTCATTATCTTGTAGTCTTGACACAACTCGATTTCGGACGAGTCGTTCGTCACTTTAACTCTTAAGCATGTTTCCCATGCTTCTCCAGACAAGCCTTAGTACAATCAGTTTTTTCAATCAATTCCTCCGAGCGGGGCAACTGTGCCACCCCAATACAAGCCTTAAATTTCCTCCTCTTCAAAGTCAGAGCAACTCCAGCTCACTGGGAAGGTGTTTGTCTATTGGAGTCTGTGAATCCCTTCGAGTTCGCCTTCGAAGAAGATGACAATAGAACCGTGGAAGATGCATTACATTTGTTACCCTGGGTGTATAAAGGACTCTACTTTTTTTATGGTATGCCGACGCTGGACGAGAAATCTGAATGACCTAAGGTGATAAGTCCAGGGTATACAGGGTTGTTCTCTCTCATGTTCCACCCGTTGTGCAGATAGCAAATGTCAAATTAAAACTTGTCGTGTTTGTCTCTTTCTGCTCGCCCTAATATCAAGTTAAATGATTGAGCGATTGAGATGTTGACACCAACCTGATTGAGTTTCAATCAGAACGTTGCCCAACCCATTGAACTCCGTCATTTACCCGCATGATACACAGAGCTTATTACGCTCTTGTGAATTGAGGGCGGACGAACCTGCTATGCACGAAGGAATTCCGTGCCCAAAATAACTGCACAGAGCGTATGAACGAATTCCCTTGTCGCTCAAATGGAGCGCCTTTAACTATGTATGCATCGAGTCAGTCGTTACACGAGTCTTTTTGCTTTTCTAATGTTGTCTTATCGGTTTGTGATCTCCACCGCTGTTCTGATGGCTGGTGTCAACTGCCTAAAGATGATGAGCGTAAGTCGCCGTCCATGACCCTTGGATATTGATGCAGACGAAGTTCGATGAAATCCTTCCCTCAGATTGAGAAGGCCACGGTACCGTTACTCGCTGCAGAAGAGTTGGATGATAGCTCGGCTGATCTGTGGCGGTCAGAAGGAGCGTTCGACGATTGCGATGTAACTTGTATAACATAGTCCCTATTGCAACTCACAGTGGGTGACGAGAGAGCTGTTACTGAATATCCATAGCATAGAGACATTCGCTTGTCGGTGTTGAATCTATGTGAACAGGAACCGCCGTTGTTCAATAGCGCTCGTGAAAAAGAGGCTCGTCTAAACAGTTCCAGCTTTTAAGTTCGAATACTTTGATCACTCATTTGAATCACTGGATTGAGATTGCACTTCCTTGCAGGGCGCATTACCCTACGTCTACGAAAAGGATGAGTACTTCGTACGATTCTCCGAGCCAGTCGCTAATGGATACCTCACACTTGAGGAGTTGAGATGCCCCAGCACTACTCAGTCTCCCATTGGTTATATCTTCCCTGATGGTCTCGAGTGAGTACCTGTTGTTCCCTCTCCCTGAATCATGATGCTCCGACCATTGGGATGATGCTCCTTAGTTCATTGAACAATATTCAGGTGGTTCCTCATGGCATCCACCAACTCTCACGAAGAGCATGGCAAGGGAGGACTCTATGTGATAGAGCCCTGTAGAGTCTATCAGATCAAAAACAGAGCTACGTTCACGGGATCCTTGATAGCGCTCTTTAAAAGCACCAGTGGGAACATGACAAAATTGTCTCACGAAGGTGGTGCATATCTGTTCCCACACATTGTTGAGGCCCTATGCGAGATGATGGAAAATCCTGTTGCGAACAACCGAGAGGTTTATCTTTCGAAGGTGAGCGTCATTCCTCATCTCCACAGTAGAGTCTAGATTTGCAAAGTAGGGCACACCATTCATGAGACTAGAATTCCATCACGAAGAGGTCGGAGCTAGCTCAACTAGGGTTGTGGTCACGGTAGTATCCGATGGAAGGCCGAGGATAACACGATTAGCGATCAGGAAACCTCTCCGAATGCGCCATACTGGCCACGTTATCGAGGACCTCATGGGTCTTTAACGGTAGCTGGGGGAGATAGTCAGGACTTGTGGGTCTTGGTTCATTTCATCAATCAAGACTCATTCTCTCCTTTGTCACCTCGGAAGTCCGTGAGCTCTTCCGTGAAGATCATACGTTCTTGAATGAGGTCTTCGCAACTGCATCCTGGGTGGATGATCAAGCGTTTGAGCAAATGGACAGAAGCATTGTTTTTTTTCCAAGTTTTGCCCGGCTCTATGGTAGCTCCGGTGTGATCTCAGGTCTTGGGTCGTGAGAAGATGGATGTCTTCAAGGTCGCGCACGACGGCTACTATGCGGCTTTCATTATCAAGCATGGACGTTTGAGGATCAAGACTCTCTCCTGTCCCGGGACGGGCAAATTTGAGGAATTTGAGGATGATGCGTAATAAAGATCATCGTCCATGCGCCTGCCTAAATTTTTCCTCTTTGCAAAATCAGGGCAATTCCAGCTCACTGGGAAGGTTTTTCCTTGTTGAAGTCGGTGAACTCCTTGGAGTTCGCTCTCGAAGAAGATGACAATAGAACTATACAGGATGTATTGCACGTGTTACGCTGGGTGTATAAGGGACTCTCTATCATTAATGAGATGCCGACGCCAGACCTGACGAGTCCTAATTCTGTGTTTATCCGATCGCTTTGCCAATCCCCGCTGGCAACAAAGAGGAATAAAAGCAAACTGCGTAGAAGTATCAGACGCCTCCTGCAGTGGTAGAAGCAAGCACTTCTATGGGAACCTCTTCCTACCAACACGGTTGTTCTCTCTCATGTTCCACCCGTTGTGCAGATAACAAAGATTATCAAATGAAAACTTGTCGAGTTAATGATCGAGCGATTAAGTTGTTGACACCAACCTGATTGGATCCTAACCAGATTGGGGTGAACAACTTACCATCGACGGTCCAATATTCATAGTTTATTGGAATACAGCATCTTCGATCTCAGAACTCGGGTGACTATCATACAGGTATGCTCGTGCATACGTACTACGTATGCGCTGCGATTACTACGTGTTTGTAGTGACTACGTATTCACTCGGTGTGCACGTTTTCATAATTTTGACTCCAGCGTTGTCGGACTGATTCATGAATTTGAAATGTACATGTTATGAGTCGTTACTTTTTAGGTTACGTTTTTCGTTTTTCTTTTCTTGGGAGTTTCTCCATCACAACGCTGTTGGTGGTGAAAAAAACCCTCATCTCAGAGTGTCTTCCGAAACAGTCTGTGATGTTGCTATTAATGCCAGACATGTGCTTTGATATCTTCACGGAATTATAACTTTAGCCTCTCTTTATCTGGGACATAAGCATTGCGCTGAGCTCATCGTCTCACTCAATGACGTTCTGTGTCGCATATCATCTCAGGTGTGATTGCCTGTCAATGACATTGACTCATGTCTGCATGTATCCTGCCGTCGATGTAGAAGGGCAGCTGTGTTTGTTGAAGATCTATCGGGTATAACACTTGTTCATGCATAGTTAACTATCATGGTCATGCTATGGGTTCACCGTTCATGCTGACTATGCCCATGCGTTTCCTTAACACATCAAGTTCGGATGCTTCTATACTCACTGCTGTTGTTGTGCTTACCGAAGTCCAGGAGATGATTCTACCAGTAGTTTGTTTCACGATGCGCAGCAGCAAAGCCGATGCCCCAAGACGATCATCCCCACGGTCGCCTCCTACCCGTCGGTCCATAGTGAATGAATCGTATCAAGGTGTCCTCGTAGTCATCATAGTGTTTTGGTTCATATTGCGGAAGACTGTCCTCAGCTCGTACACAGAAGAACATAAGTTGATTACTTTAGCTATCTCCATTATAATATTACTCTGTTTGATCGCTAAAAGGCTCGGCTACATCTAGCGAGCCTTAATATCGCTGATTTTCACATTCCTTAACGTTGTTATGTTGTTACTCATATGTGGATGCTCATTATCAGAGTAGTTCTGGTGACATGATTATCAGCCGTCTTCTGAACACTACCCTTTGCCGTCGAGTAGGGCGTCCCAGGAGCTTTGCGATATACCGGTACGACCATGTACATTCCTGATCGCCGTTATTTAGTTTTGAGATTCATTTCTTCAGGACTCCTGCTCCTCCTATTTCTGGAGTCCTTGAAGTTCGCCAAACGCTACATATATCCCCTGGGCTCGCTGGCTTGGCCACTGCATTCGACAAGCTCCCTAAGGATAGTGATGGTAGACTTTTGCTCGGTTCGGTAATTTTAATGGTAGCCAACAGGTGTAACTCGAGAAGAGCTGCAGCGCCTCAGCCCCTCTACCCCCGCGGAAATCATGGATGCGATTTTCGGACTTTTTGATAATTTTCCTAAGGACGGCAAGATATCCTATAACGAGCTTTGTAAGCGGAATGACATGCTCAGCAAATTATCATATAATTCGCTCTCCCAGGTGCCTATCTCTTGTTGCACGCTGAAGGCGTTACTGATGCTGAACGGTATGCTGAAGACAACCGCGCATGAGCAGCTTCTCATTATTAGGTCTGAGTTCACATTTTCGATCTGTGATGCAAATGGAGACAATGGAGTATCGAAGGAAGAGCTTGCTGAGGTAAGCTGTCATTCTCAGACTGAGAATCTCAGTGCTACTCTATTGTGCGTCAGGTCGTGGGGACTCTGGCATATGCCAAATCCAAGGATTGGAACGTGGCCAAAGTAAGTGGTCACGCTGCATGGGACGGACGTCCAGAGAGCTATCTCAGGCTGTATCTCTTCGCATCGTGGAGGATGCGTTCGCGAAGTCTGATGAAGCTGATCTCGACATCCACGCTTTCACCGAGTGGAGTCGAGGACAGTCTGAGCAAGCCCAGGTGAAGAGTAGAGACTCGCATGGTCATCATGAATGCATTTGGTTAGGAATTTCACTCCCTGGTTACGGGCACTATTTGAAAGCTTTGTGCACACAGCTGATGCGTCGCTTGTATTATACTTTGCTCACGAGTTGAGAGTGTCTTAATGAACGAACCTGAGATCAAGAATAGTGATCTAATGCACAAGGCATAATCAATATACAAGATCGGGTACATGGATCTCTCCGAAGATCACAAAGACATTCAAATAGCTTTCCGCAACAGTGGAGGACTTGGGATTCGATCCTAGTCCCTTTCCCGTGTAAGCAGTGCGCTCGACTGTTCGGGTACAGCGAGGCTGATAATATTGATTGGACTCGTTTACCAGAGTGCCAAGTACTACAAACTTGGAGAAAGTACTGAATCCATATCAGCTTTTCAACTTTCACTACTCTTCCGCACTGCCACAGAAGAAAAGAATCCACACGAGAATACGAAGCTCTCAATGAAAGCCTTTCATGTCAACACCAACCAGCTATCTCTGACTCACGTGTCCAACTTACGAGTTGTTGAGCATGCTAGCTACCGAGACGGAGCCAGCTCACGAAAGCAGACTATTGATGTCCTATTCGTGCGCAGACTTCGACAGAAGCTTACTATCCTGAGTGTCCTTAGTGTACCTTGCTTGTCCTCCTCCACAGTGCCCCAGTGGCTCTCGGAGGCTAGAGGTTTCAACGGCTAGTGTACCCGGCTTACGTGAGGCCTGCGGCGTGCGCTACTTTTAACGCGCTGTTCATGTATTTTGCATGAATAGTGACAGTCTTACAAGAATTTAGTGACGGAATCTGTCTTCGCTGTCTTCACAATTTCATCCCACAGTTCTGACTTTCGTCTCATGTCTTATGATGTCTCCCATCGTCTACCAGCATCCGTCAACTTTCGTAAGAGGATTTACCGTCGTAGAGCCGACCGCCACAAGTGGCCGTCTCGGCACCGAGTCTCCTCTTGGATAACCCGTCTAACCCTCGGTGTTAATCGAGTTGGTCATAGTCGACCGTAAGTTACACTGAAGCTCATACAATGTGAAAAGTCTATTCCCTTAGTGATGAGAATCACGTGATGGTACTCGTATACTCGTGATAGGAAATGTTGAAACCGAGTCGGAAATTTTTCTTTTGAGGACAGGGTGCAATCTATTGCTATTCTCATCCAATTATAGTGTTATTGAACTTGATGTCAAATTTCATTTTTTCGTCGATTTTTTTCGTTTTTTCTGATTAATTTCGTCGAAATTGTTGTCACATTCAAATGTCGTCGATTATCACGCTTCAAGGAGTTTAGAGATTGATAAAACACGTCCTGCGCCACACAGTTTGTGACCTAGACGCTCCTCCGTTAGTCGTACATCCCATTGTGGTTTTATAGGTACTGGACACGGCACTGGATGGTGGGGTTATCTTGTCTTATGTACCTCCTACCGACTTGGGCTTATCTCTATCAAGCTTATACGTATAACGCTCTTCATCTCCTTTTAATTGGCCTGTGGTAATAGACACTTGCTGTGAATGCTGATTTGTGACGTTGTATATTTTCACTCTGATAACACGATGTGACGAGATCGTCGTGCATTTTCCTTTCATAGCGTTTGTATATGGGTCGAATTTTATATGCTTCTAGGTATCTAATCGTGACATTCGTATCGTTCATGGCTGATTACGTGTGCTTGCCAGTAATGACGCGATCGCAGCGTGAGGAGTATCTCGCGATAGCTCCCAGCAAGCGTCCAAAGTTCACCCCATCAGCATGGGGCATGAGAGATAGGGTCGTAGCCTCTATAGCATGCTGGATCTCCATGGCTGAAAGTAATATGGGGAGTAGTAATGTTTCCTGGTATACGGTACGGCTCCAGCTCGCTGTCGCTATACGGATAGACGCCTATACGATAAGAAGATCTCGATTTGGACTCATCCTAGTTTGTTGTGATAGGCATATCGACTTTGATACAAAGTCATACTTTCTAAATTCCGAGCTACTGGGAAAGTAATTTGATTCTAGCTATGTCTCGATAGTCTCTGGTACGATGACTCGCTGTCATAGGGTCGTAGCTGTATTACTATCATTGTGATCTAGGCTTTGTAGAATAGCAGTTGTTGTTTCGACTTGAACTGCTACCATCAATATCGGCACATGCCATGCATAACATTGAGTGTAGTGTGAAGGGAAGTATCTTGTCTCAGGTTGGTCCCGTGTCCATTCGTATCTAATTCCACTCCTCCTCGCCGCTGTTTCGGCTGTGTGTATAATATGGAGTAGAAGGTAGTAGTATCAGTTTTGCACTGTCCATTTCACAATGGTTTCCTCTCAGCTCACACGCCTCATCTGTGTGGATCTTCCGTCACTGTACATGGCACGTTATATCGAGCCTCTCACTGACGGTGACAGCCCTTTGGAACGGCAAGACATGGTTTTGAAGGTCTTTGAGTACTACTCAAGCCGGGTGTCTCTGCTAAGTTGATAATAGTCATGTAGTTGTCATGAGCTACTTTGGTGCCATCCTGGAGCCAGGTGTTGTGTTTGTAGAAAGTGTCTCAGACGAAACCGAAAAGTGTCAGATGGTGACTCGGCAGCTTATGTGCATAAGTGGACCTGTGACGGACGGCATTGATATCGGCGATGCTTGTCGTCAGCAAGTTATCGTCATATTGTGCGACTGGAACTATAGGCTTAGCCATGGTGGATCCACTATTTGCAGAGATTAACTATTAGGATGACTGCGGTCAGATGTTTTCGATTGGCAACGGACATGAAACGCGGCAAAATGGATGAGCATTTATTCTGATCGCTTCAGTAGTTGTGAGGAGCTACCTCGCTCCAGTGGCACGATCTTCAACGGTAGAAGTTCAACCTTATCAGGCGGTAGTATAAGATGTTTTCTCACTCAAAACAGTTTCGGTTGAACCAAATACAAGTTGAAGAACAATCTGATGAAAGATGTGAGGGTTGAGAGCGATAATGGCGCACCTTTTCACCCAATTAAGTCCAGTGCGAATGGTGAAGACTAAGAATTTGAATCAGTAAACAAACTCAGATAAAATTAACCATTCGTTTAGTACTAATTTAATTAGTACCAAATGAATGGTTCAATGGTTATAATTAGTCTAATTATGAAATGTATTGGATCTTCCAGGGGACTCCATACTATAAGCTTCGTGAGGTGAAGCCACTAGAGCAGCTATCCTTAAAATTCCCTATCATCAAGTAACAACGGCAGCCCATTCAAGTGCTCGACTCCTCCGAATACTCAACCTCGGTGAAGTGAGCACTTAACCGTGTTCCTGTAGTGATTATCTCTTTTGTCGGCCCTCTGATGGAGGAATTTCCTATACAACAGTTCAAAACATTCATCGTCCCAGCATGGCAGAAATGCTATCGAACCATCCGTTCGAGTCGACTAATCGCCAAATGGTGAATTTCTTGCTCCTTGTCATCCAGATTGACAACACAGAGTTGAGATTGCCTCAGACTAGTTTGCAGCTCGCCACTCACGAGCCATGCTGTTACTCCCCAACTGCAAACACGATAGCAAGTGTTAAACAGAGAAGCATGTTAAAAAATCATAAAACAAGTCACTCAATAGCAACTTTGTTGCTCGCCCGGCATTCCGCTTGGACCTTCAACGGGACACTCCACACAGGTACGGATAGCGCTTCCGACTGAAGGGAGCAATGACTACTCACAAAGATGAAGACTACTCACTATGTCTCGCAATACCGACGCCGTTGTGGAGGTCCATGACGTCAAGGCAAAAATAAACAAGCAAACGAGCAACGGTGATTCGTCGATTGGAGGCCGTGTATCGGGTAATACTATCCCGATGGCGCGATTAACTGACAACGAATTGAGTTCCGACTAACCAGATGGTGAGGAAAGCTACATGATATGATGATGACGGGTAGTATGCAGGTCCACCTATAGGGCGCGAGGGGAGCATCACAGACATGAGCAACCTAAAGGCATATCCCGTGAACGATACTAAAGGAAGCACAGCCGACTCTCGTAGCATCAATGTCCATTATGCCTCAGAGATTCCGAGAGAGTTGATCAAACTCATAACCAACCCAGCTTACCTGTATGATGGTCACTATCTGGGAAAAAAGGAGACCGATGAACCATATGACAAGCCGTGGGTGATCAGACATAACGTTAGAGGTCATCATCCACAGGCAAGCTAGCATGACACCTATACAGTAAGGGGCTGCTGTTGAAAAGGCATTGAGCAACTCGTTAGCTATCAAATCTGAAGAACAGAACACATCCACCTGTATCATAGTAGAGAACTTCTCTCACCCGATTGCTTATGCTTCCGTTGAGCTGTGGTTATGTGGCGGAAAACCCCATAAACATGCGTTAAAATTACAGGGATAGCAGAAATTGAGCATCTAGAATATGATTATATCAGGTTCTTCAGCATATCCCCTTACAGCGCTAATGCCACGTCACGTCGTTCAAAGCGGCCTCCAATGAAAGGTAATGTCTCCTGTACGTGCCAGAAAGTGGTATGATCGTCCAGTTGAGAGCTCATGAGGTATATACTGGCGAGAATAAGGACTCCTTCGTTCGGACCGTTGATGTAGGGGAGGATGAATTCACCTGATTTGAATGTGACGGTGGACTTTATGACAAGCTGACCCACCCCGATAGTATTCATCCCAAGCTGCGAAGAAGAACTGAGTTGAAGCCATGAAGAGTACAGTCAGAGTTCTGAAAATACTCAGTCGGAAAGATACGAACTATCTACGGTATTGTACCTTAAGCCTGCTCCGAATTGGAATAGAGCAGCAGCTGAGAAGGTGCTCATGACGATGTTGATACCATCACAACCATGGTCTACTACGAGCCCGAGCGCACTGGAGAGGCCAAGGCGACGGGCCTGAAATGAATCATGGCTTCAGGGCAGGAAATGAATCTTTAGCCTCCACCTGTTTCCCGTCTAAGTTGTCGAAGAGTTGGTATGCGAGAACCATGACTCCTGTGAGAGCCCATACCCATCCCGGAG